GGAATAGACTAAGGTTCCATAAGCATCACAATTACTGGAAGTCTTTAAAAACATTGGATAAAAAAATTGCAACAAACTGTTGCAGTCTTGCCTTGGGGAAGGTCAAGCAGGTAACAGGACTGGAGGAGTTACCCTTTCACACAGCCTTCTAGTTTTCATTTGCTAGCTGTCTAGAAATATGACATTATAGATACATGCATACTCTGTCCCTTATACATTGTTCCACAATAACTGTAAACAGCTACCTTAATTGTGGGTTTATTTGTAATGAACAGAAGATGGATGTTCTTGACTGTTGTTGACAGTACTGGAATGAAGCTGAAGGTTAACATTAGGCTAATCCTGTGCCACTCCTGAGTACAGTACACAGAAGTAATGGTCCTTAAGTAAGCTTTTTGGAGGGTAGGGACACAGACATAGCTGAAAAATTATACTGCAGGCTACTTCTTGTTATCTTCCATGAGTATGTGACTTCTCCTTGGTTTTTGCACTGTACTTTAAATGTTTGTGTGGCCATGTGGTGAACCAAATTGGGGAACTAGTCTGTCTGAAAACACCTTGAAAGAAATCTTTTGCCTTGGTTTATCACACAAACAGGTGTGCTGGTATGATTTGGTTGACAATTCAGAAATGGAAATGTACAATGACTGTTTAAGCAGCATTAGTGATGTGTACATAAATATGCATTAGACCTGCTAAAGTTGGATAAACTCAAGGAAAGTCAGAAAGCAAATCAATTACTGAATTCTCTCTATTCTTTGGCTTCTCACAGAGCAGAAAATGTGTCATGGTTCAGTTTTATTAACTGTGATAGTTTTAAATGCGTCTGTTCTTTTTCTTCCTAAATGTACTAGGTTGGGGGACAATGCAACTTCTGGGAGCTTTCCAAAAGCAGTTTATGGTCAAGGGGCTTTTATGACACCAAAATGTAGTACACTGCCTACTAGGGATGTTCTTGACAGTTTTTCTGTCCTACTTAGTTAAATACTGCCTCTAATTCTTCATAATATTGCTTTGGTCACAAAGTCTCTTTTTTTCTTGCATTGTGTGCCTGATGCACAAGCTGAACAAAGGGCAATTATGGCCTTTTCTGTCTTCTGCCTGGTTTAAATGAAACATGATCATGATTGGGCAGTTTCTGTCCTAGGGGATCACTGTTCTCCCTCATGCTGTGATCTCATTCTGTCGTCTAACTGTTACTTGTGTAATCCATTTACAATTCACTTTAAATGTTTTGAATATATATAAAACCTAAGTTCAAGGACCAGATGATGGCAGGATCATTGTGACCAATGAACTTTAAACTGGCAACTGAGATGTAAAATCTTTCTTCTCCTCTGTTTAGTTATTTTATGTTAATGTGGTAGTGGTTTAATCTTATGTTTAGCTCTCTGCTGTCAAGTCAGTGATATGAAGCCTGGGTTGCAAGAAACTTTCAGAATCTATTTGGACATTACTAGAATGCCTCAAATATTCAGTCTATCTCTTTATGGGCAGCTGGTATACAAAGATATATATAAGGGATAGTTCAAAGCTCTTCTCTAGAACTGAAGTTCAGAAGTTAATTCAATCAAATGCTGTTGCCTTCTTCCAGGTTCCTTTTTTGCCTGGAGATTCTGATCTTGACCAGCTGACAAGGATATTTGAAACACTGGGCACTCCAACAGAAGAACAGTGGCCTGTGAGTCCTTTTATTTAACAGACTGACATTAGTTTTACTTGATACTCTCTATTTTAGCTTTTGAAATAAAGGGTGTATCAGAATACTTGAGTAGAATGCCAGAAGGCAGCTGCCTGATATCACAATGCGGAGGATAAGCAGCTGAGATTTATTGTTTCTCTTGGCAAATTTCTGAGCAATATAGCAGTGTTGTTAGCATTAAGCAACAGTAATGAAACTTCGTGGTTTCATTTTTGTGTGTATCCAGTTTCCCATGGCTATTGGTATGAAGTTAAGATTGTTGCTTAATGTTCTTTAGATGCTTGATTAATAATCTGCTTTGATCTGAAAGGCTTTAATCACTTTCAGAAGTAGGAACAATTTGTAGTTGGCCTGGATAAGTTATAGCTTTGGGATACAGTAAAAAACACCAGACCAACAGCTTTAGGAATAAATAGTTAAACTCAGAGTAACTGTACTGTAACAAATACAATTAGTAGTACAATTACCTCTGAGATTACAGTGAATTCAGTAATTCATGAATACCAGAACAAACTTAGTGTCAGGGCACGCAATGATCTCCTTAACCATGGTTATCAGGCAGATTGACAGGAAGCAGGGCATGGCTGCTTTGGATGTGCAGCTTGGACCAGCTGATGGGTACAGAGGGTCCAGAATTCCCTGATCACACTGTTGTCTTTTGTAGTTGAGTTGTGGAAGCGGTCTCTGGACTTGATAACCAGTCGTCACATCATACTTCTGCTCCCTCTCCACGCTGCTTTTCCTTTGTGTGAGTGGTACTCAAATGCTGTGGTATGCGATCACCAAATGGAGCTACAGCCATATGGAGAAATATCATATAAGCCACTACTACTCCCATACAATTTTGTTGTTTTGAGATTCTAAGTGAAACGCGTGAAGATTTTTGCAATGACATTTCTCCTTTCTTTGGAGAGGTAGAGTTGAGATATAGGTGGGGAAAGGAGATCTGCTAGCATGACAGAGATAATGCATTCTCAAATTAATTTGCAAACCATTTCAAGAATTGAAATCTTTACTGTCAAGATTATAACTGAGCACACTTTTCATTTCAGTGTTAATACTTACTTTGCTTGGATAAACTTACTGAAGTGTGATGACTAGAGATTCAAAATACGTAAAATACCATGTCTGGATAATTGTCTCCAACAAGATCATTTTTATGATAGAATTTTAATACAATGGGATTGATTTCATACCTACAGGGAAAAAGTACGCAATTCATCTGTTTTACTGCTTGACATATTTCCCTTCCTTCCCCACACTCCCAAAATAAAGTTTCGGTTGTGCATTTCAAAAGTAGCTCAAAACACTCATGATGATCAACTCATTTTGAGGAGGAAGACAGTCTATCAACTTTGAGAAAATGCAGACTGGCTCTTTTGTGAATCTTGCCTCTTCCACCTTGTCAGTCTGCAAAAGAAAAAGGTGAAGCTATTTCATTTGTCTGCACCTACTCTAAAGTTCTGTCATACTTCCTTTCTTTGTTAGCAGTTTTTCCTTTTGGACTGGTCACCACTAAAGCAAGGGAAGGACAAAACACTTGGAAAGGAAAAGTGTGAAACAACTGTAACAGTTTTTTTTTTTAAAAACAAAAGTCTTTATGACATACTATTCCTACACTTATTTCAGTGACCAAGTATTAGCAAGGTGTTTTGAAAGACAATTTGCTTCTGCTGAAAGGCAGCCATGTGAAGTTCCCTTTGTGTGAAAAGCTGAACTCTTTCTCACTTGAAAAACATATTTTCCATTTTTGTCTTTGTAGGGGATGACGAGTCTTCCAGATTATGTCACATTTAAGTCTTTCCCTGGAATGCCGCTTCAACATATCTTCAGTGCAGCTGGTGATGATTTGCTCAATCTTCTGCAAGGCTTATTCACATTTAATCCTTGCACTAGGGTTACAGCTACTCAGGTGTAGTATGCTTGCATTATGTCCTCATCTTCCTTAACCTACTGTTAATATCAGATAAATGTGCTTTGAAGTCAGTAAGCCAGGTTTGAAATGAAATGTCATGTAGCTGTGTCTGTGAAATACTAGAAACATATTTCCAGCATTTTGAAGAGAGAACTCTGAAAGGCATGAATAATGCTGACTGATCGTCTCCATTTCCAATGTAGAGCACAGGTAACAACTGAAAGGTGTATGAGTCATGGCCTTCAGACAGTTGTTATACTTGACATTCAAAATTGAGTCACCTAACGCTTGAAATTTAAGACTTAACATAGCATATCTTACTCCCTGGTTTTGAAAGGTTTTCGTTCTTAATTCATCCAATGTCATCTTCAATTTTATTTAAACTTTTTTTTGATTCTTTTTTTAACATGAAATTCTGTGGTGATTTAAACCAGCATTCTGATCTGAATATCCTTTTCCTTTATACTTAAGTGAAACTTATGTCAATTTCACTATTCCTTCACGGGGAGAAATGAAGGACTTCAAAATGTTCTAGTTAAGAGTATTGATTTTTGCTATGAAGAAGATAAAGCAGTTGAAGTTTCAAAACTGTATTTCTGTCACCTTACACGGTTCAGAAAGCATGTAAGAGACAAAACTGTCTGCTCAAGGTCAGGGCTCCCTCATTGCTTGTTAAACAAGGCAGATCCTAATCCAGGGGATCAGTGTATGTGTTAAGTGTCTTTTTACTAGAAGACTTTTTTCAGACCACATTCAGGTTTTTTGTCACAGTCTTTAAGAACTTTCAATATAAGTTTCCAAATAATTACTTCTGCTATGCTTGGGACATGTCTGTACTAGTTTGTATGTATAAAGTCATTTTACAGGTCATATTGTAGGATGGTAACTGGAATATATGATTTTTCTAGTCTAGTATTTTTATTGACAATGCCACAGTCTAAGGCAGGAAACAACTTCTGCTTGCTGTGTTGGCTTGATTTATAGCTGGCACCGAATACCATGTAACTGACATAAGCAAGAGTAATGATTACCTGAGACACAACTTATCCTCTTTTCCTTAACCACAGTTTATGGAAGCTGTGGAATTCCTAAAATTTAAAATAGGATATGTAATTCCACTACATGAAATTAATCCTGCTCACCTGTGTTTGTCTTCTGCTCTAATTCAAACTGGTTTTCCCAGTTTACAGTGTAGAAACAGCACAGTTACAGGAATTTTCAGGAAGGACTTAACTTACAAGCTAGCAAAACAGATGGTGTCCTGGTCCTGGATCTGATCAAGACTTCAGATACATTCTTTTAATCTTTCTTTGTTCGTTTCTTCTTTATCATCTTGTGCCATCTGTCTATTCAGAATGTAAGCTCTATGGAGATAAAAACTTGCTGTTTGTACAGACTACCTGCAGTGTAGTCTAGAGTTTTATTAGGATGTCTGAACATTAGTTAAAAATAACAGTACACAATTATCTCTTGGCTTACAAATCAAAGTGTTCTGCATAGTCAGAGAACACAAAATCTTGATTTGCCCCAAGGCCACCTGCTAATATATGTGTCCAAACAGTTTAGGAGTCCCAATTGCAAGTGCTTTATTTCATTGTAACCTCTTTATAGATGGTGTTCTGACACTTCATACTAATCACTTGGGTATTTTTCTTCTATTATCATTAAGGCATTGAAACAGAACTATTTCAGTAACCGACCAGGACCCACACCAGGAAATCAGCTGCCAAGACCCAACTGTCCTGCGGAAGCTGTGAAGGAGCAACAAAATGCACTTATAAATCTAAAAAGGAAAAGAACAGAAGGAATAGATCAAGGTAACCTCTTAATGTTTCACCTGTTTTAAAACAGAAGTTACGTGCTCAGAGAGAATGTGAGACTTTCAGTGTTTCAGAACAAAAACTCTCTGAATAGACTACATTCCTGGGCATCAGCACCATCAGAAGCCCTTTAATGATTTATGCTTTAGAGTGAGAATGACTTAGTTCTGTGTTCTAACAGAATTGGTACAAAAAAAGGCTCTTTTGTGATGCTTAGGAATCTATTTGTTAGAAAAAATACCTAATTCCATTAAATAATAGTGTGGTACTACCCAGGAAATTATAGGTGATTATGATGCCCTTTTTTTTTTTTTTGAGACATCTTACTGAGGGGGAAAAAACTTAACTTTACAACCCTTAAAAAAAAAAAAAAAAAAAAAAAGCAGGGGTGTGAGAGAGACTCATGAATCATAGAATGGGTTGGGTTGGAAGGGACCTTAAAGATCATCCAGTTCCACTAGCTCAGATTGCTCAAAGCCCCATCCAGCCTGGCCTTGAACACTTCCAGGGAGGGGGCTTCCACAGCTTCTCTGGGCAACCTCTTACAGTGCCTCACCACTCTCACAGTAAAGAATTTCTTCCCAATCTCATCTAAATCTACCCCTTTTTAGTTTAAAGCCATTACCCCTCATCCTATCACACCATGCCCTTGTAAACAGTCCCTCCCCAGCTTTCTTGTAGGTCCCCTCTAGGTACTGGAAGGCTGCTATAAGGTCTCCCTGGAGCCTTCTCCAGGCTGAACAACCCCAACTCTCTCAGCCTGTCTTCATAGGAGAGGTGCTCCAGCCCTCTTACCAGCTTTGTGGCCCTCCTCTGGACTCGGTCCGACAGCTCCATGTCTGTCTTGTACTGGGGCCCCCCAGAGCTGGACGCAGTAATCCAGGTGGGGCCTCCCACGAGCGGAGTAGAGGGGCAGAATCACCTCCCTCGACCTGCTGGTCACACTTCTTTTGATGCAGCCCAGGACACGGTTGGCTTTCTGGGCTGCAAGTGCAGATTGTCAGCTCATGTTGAGCTTCTGACCCACCAACCCCCCCACCCACCAACAGCCCTGAATCCTCAGGGCTGCTCTGAATCCATTCTCTGCTCAGCCTATAGTTGTGCTTGGGATTGCCCCGATCCATGTGCAGGACCTTGCACTTGACCTTGTTGAACTTCATGAGGTTTGCGCCTTGCCTGTCAAGGTCCCTCTGGATGGCATCCCTTCCTTCCAGTGTCAACCACACCACACAGCTTGGTGTTGTCGGGAAAACTTGCTGAGGGTGCACTCGATCCAACTGTCCATGTTGCTAACAAAGATGTTAAACAGTGCCGGTCCCGATACCGACCCCTGAGGAACACCACTCGTCACTCTCTGCTCAGACATCAAGCCGTTGACCACAGCTCTTTGAGTAGAAGTGTCCAGCCAATTCCTTATCCATTGAGTGGTCCATCCATCAAATCCATGTCTGTCCAGTTTAGGGACAAGGATGTGATGCAGGACAGTGTCAAATGCCTTGCACAAGTCCAGGGGGATGATGTCAGTTGCCCTTCCCTCATCCACCAACGCTGTAACCCCATCATAGGAGGCCACCAGATTTGTCAGGCACGATTTACCCTTAGTGAAGCCATGCTGGCTATTCAATAATCACGTCCTTATTTTTTTGTGTTCCTAAGCATAGTTTCCGGGAGGATCTGCTGCATGATCTTGCTAGGCACAGAGTGAGACTGATCAGTCTGTAGTTACCCACGTCTTCCTTTTTTCCCCTTTTTAAAAATGGGGGTTATGTTTCCCCTTTCCCAGTCAGTGGGAACTTCACCCGACTGTCATGAATTCTCAAATATGATGGAGAGTGGCTTAGCAACTTCATCCGCCAGTTCCCTGAGGACCTGCATCTCATCATGTCCCATGGACTTGTGCACCTTCAGGTTCCTTACATGGTCTCAAACATGATCTCCTACAGTGACTGGTTCTCCTAGTCCCTGCCTTTGCCTTCTGTGACTTTGGCAGTGTGGCTTGAGTACTTGCTGGTGAAGTCTGAGGCAAAGAAGTTGAGTACCTCAGCCTTCTCCATATTCCAGGTAACCAGGTCTACTGTTTCATTCTGGATGGGACCCACATTTTCCCTAGTCTTCCTTTTATCATTGACATACCTATAGAAACTTTTCTTGTTGTCCTTGATGTCTCTTGCCGGATTTAATTCTACCATGGCTTTAGCATTCCTAACCTGATCCCTGGCTGCTCGCACAGTTTCTCTGTATTCCTCCCAGGCTACCTGCCCTTGCTTCCACCCTCTGTAGGCTTGAGTTTGTTCAGGAGCTCCTTGTTCACCCATGCAGGCCTCCTGGTGGTTTTTGGCTGATTTCTTCTTTGTTGGGATGCATCGCTCCTGAGCTTGGAGATGACCCTTGAAGACTAACCAGCTTTCTGGGGTCCCTCTTCCCTCCAGAGTTTTGTCCCATGGTACTCTACAAAGCAGGTCCCTGAAGAGGCCAAAGTCTGCTCTCCTAAAGTCCAGGGTAGTGAGCTTGCTGTGCACCCTTCTCGCTGCCCTGAGGATCTTGAGTTCCACCATTTCATGGTCACTGCAGCCAAGGCTGCCCTTGAGCTTCCCATTCCGCAGCAGCCCCTCCTTGTGGTGAGAACAAGGTCTAACATGGCACCTCTTCTCATTGGCTCCTCTATCCCTTGGAAAAGGAAGTCTCATCCATGCATTCCAGGAACCTCCTGGATTGCCTATGCGCTGCTGTGTTGTCCCTCCAACAGATATGGTGGTAATTGAAATCCCCCATGAGGACCAGGGCTTGTGAATGTGAGGCTGCTCCTTTTTGTTTATACAGGGCCTCATCTGCTTGGTCTCCCTGGTCAGGTGGCCTGTAGCAGACCCCCATTATGATGTCCCTTGTCCCTGTGCTCCCTTTTAACTTGACTCATAAGCTCTTGCTCGGCTCCTCGTCCATCCCTAGGTGGGGTTCCATGCATTCTAGCTGGTCATTGACAGTGGATAACATCCCCTCCTCATATCCCTTCCCTGTCCTTACTAAATGACATAGCATGTTGGTCTTTCAAATGACAGACTGGAGAATGTAAATCAGGTTCAGAAGAGAGATTTCTGCTTTCTCTCTTATATTAAGCAAGTTAACAGTTATGACCGCTCTAGGTAAGGAACATTAAGCACATTTCTGTGACCCTTTTAAAAGGCAAGCCTATTTCCTAACATTTACTTCTATATAGATCCTCCAGTCTTCCCCAAACAGTAGTGTGTATTTTGTATCTTCATGGCAAGAAAAGCTCTGAGAACTCAAGACCTGTATCAACACTAAATTACTCAGACCTTCTAGTAGAGAGGCAAATACTGGTTCTTAAACTTGGAGTTGCTCTTCTCACAGCTGGAATACGCTAGAGAGCAGCTGTCAGGTTAGCATCAGCTTTTTGTTACTGCCAGTATGAGACTCTGTTTTGATACAAGAATGATATCTTTTTGGAATGGAGATGCTTCCATGCAAGTGCATTTCCTCTTCAGAGAGATAACTACATTGTTAGAGTTTAACTTACTTTTTTTGACACTTTGACTTGTTTCTTAGATGTGTGTCAAATTAAAAGTAAAAATGCATTACTTCACTGTCTTAAGATTCTAATCTCAAAGAAAAAATTCATCAGTTGACTATTTGCATGCTCTTTGACCTTAGTACTATGGGCCAACTGACCTGTGGGAGCTTGTCAAGTTACCATAGCTTTTTAGCTCCTTTTGCAAGGACCATGTGAGGGTCTGCGATTAGTGTTTTGGAGTACATGTCCTAAAATATGCCTGTTAACTAAAGGACAGGAAAGAAGAAGAAATGCTTCCTTGAGTTCTGTGACTTAACCATTTGAAGTCTTGCATTTGACAATGAGCAGTTTCCAGAGCTATATCAAGCTAGAACACTAATTGCTATAATACACCCTGGAACTTAGCAAAATGGACTGAGAGATTACTGAAGGGTACCCTCTTATAAAATGTTGGCATCAGGGTCTGGCTGTGAGGAGGAAGGAATTTATGCTATTCCCATAAGTGCTGTTTTTCCACAAGAACAAAACCCTATAGCCTGTGGGGTGTGTTCACCAAACTTAAATGTGCAGCAGCTGTACTTCTTAAAAAAAAAAAAAAAAAAAAAAAAAAAACAGCCTCTTTATTGTCAGAGGAGAACTATCACTAGATGGATGACTGGCTGTGAAAAGTATTAAGCATGCATCATTTCTAGCTCTTGCTACCATTTATTTCTGATCAGTGAGGTATGTGGAGACACTGATGCTATCATGACATCATTGTCCATCTTGTCCACTCTGGCAAACACTTAATCAAAAGCAGCACTCCTTCCCCAGGAGACCAATTTCTTAGTTCTATTAATCTGCATTTCTACAGAGCTGTAGGTTCACAAAACAGACTGAAAGATACAGTATTAAACTTTTTTCTTTTTAAACGCAGTATAAGGCATCTATCTAATTTCAGAACTATTCTACATTGGGTTGGAAAAAAAAAACATTCTATTAATATCTAATGTTAAGAATTTGTATTGTTTGGGCATTCATTTAAAGTTCATGGGTGTGATTCAATGTCAGTGTATTTCAAAGGAGACCTCTGCCCATAGGGCAGGAAAAAACAGTTGGATCCTTTCGTAGTAAGCTTCATAGCCGTCGCAGAAGGCAGCTATGGTTTATTCTACGTACATTATAAATAAGTAGCACATGAAGAAATGAGAGGACAAGATGTGGAACAGGATCAGAAAAGTACTGCTGCCCTTATCTCTACAACTGATACTAAACAGAGACATGGTTAAAGAATGAGGCAGAGACTAAAAGGGCTGTCACTTCCTGCAGACAGCTTACTGCTGGGTAGTGACAGCATGTACGAAAAATCATTACGAGTGTATGTGTGGTGGGACAGAGTTAAGCCTTAGAATAGCTTGCTTTTCTTAGGTTTAAAAGTAGAATTAATTGACAAGTTTTTTATACCAACAAAGAGGAATACTTAATGTATCCCAAATGCAGTTAACACTTAACTACAGAATTTTGGACTCATTTGGAGTACTTGTACTGATTCAAGTGAGCTTTGATTCTAGCACTCTTTCATGGATTTGTTGGAAAAAGTCATCATGTACTGCTACTGCAGCAAACAGCGTTAAGCAGCTGAGTAGATGTATCTTGAGAACAGTATCAAATGAATACGAAAACATTGAGGGGGGGGCTGGACCTGTTCTCTTTCTTAACAATGTGATTTACGCTTTTCAGGATTACCAAAAAAATTGATTTTTTGATTGCTATGGATGAAAATGGGTGAAAACGGCCTGAGTCCCAACCATTGAAAAAACATTGTAATGGTCACTGGATGGTTATTTTGTAATATTTTCATATGTAAAATATGAGTTTAATATTTCCTTACTGAAAGGATATCATTATCCTTACTTCTGTTTTTAAATAAAAGAATTGTTAACCAAAACAAGAAGATTGCTTTCTCTGATTTGCCGTCTTGTTACTTTGACTTATGCTTTGAAGTAGTAACTGTCAAACCTGCTTGCTGGCTATAGATTTACACAGGCTAATTTTGCAGAACCTTTATTCAAATAACACCCTTCTCACCTGGAGCTTAGATGTACATATGATTGTCTACAAGCCCTATAGTAAATACTGGGAAGTATTTATGTAAGGGAAGGGCAGGATGCTTTTTTGTTCCAGAAGACTTTGAGGCTTATAGAGGAAGAGCAACTGTGTTCTTGCTCCTGTTACTTCATTTTACTTCTGCCTTAAGCCAACCTGAAGTATGCTGTTCTTGTAAGGGACAACTGTTACTAGTCTCCCAATACCCTACTGTGTTCTGTATTGGTTGTTGGCATTTGAAAATTAAATTTCCTACTAGGATCTATTTAACAATGTAGAGAAAACGTTTATCAAATAACATCGGTTACAGCAGTGTTTACTGTCTGTGTAATCAAACATCATCATCCTGAATGCAGGCTGGGGGATTAAGAGAACTGCAGTCCTCCTTCTCACAGGCATATGTACGAAAATATATTAATCTGAATAGGGTGGAGACAGGAGTACTGTACACTTGTTTGCATTGAACTTATCTAGGGCAGCATTCTGACTGGTCTGCAAAGCTTGGAAACCTTCAGTCCCTAAAACCAATACTGCATTTTTCAATTAGTATCCTAAGTATTTTGTGTTATACGTAGAGTTTGCATGGCAGTGACAAGTTTGTCAGCTCTGCTTTGAGAGTAACACCGTTCCCTTCTTGTCACATGCTGTGTGTGCCTAGATGATACCCTTCCCTGAAGGAAACCTTTTCCAGTGGGACAAGTAGCAATCCTCTAAGCTTCTATTGGCAAAAGTTGTAGAGTAGGTACTGAGTTAGATGGGTGATCGGTGTTTGAATGTACAGAGAATGGTTACTGTGCTGTGTCAGAGTGGGATTGAAGAGAGGATATTTTGTGACCAAGGCTACTGTCTTGTATGCTTTGAATTCTGTGTTTGCCACAGCAGATGCTCAAAAATAGCAATGCTTCTACATAATACAAGTCCAGGAGATGTTCCCTTCCAGCTCCCATGCTGCAATTCATTTGGCATACTGTGCACTGCATGTATGGTTGGGGTCTGTTCTATACTGTGAGGGTATACAGTAAGTCTTGTTTTCAGCTGAGTTCATGAATGAAACTGCCTGTGTCAGGGACTAAAATTGCCTTGCTTTTAATGGTGGTGGTGTGCATAGATAAAGTGTATGTACATTACAGAGTAAGATAAGATTAGAAAAAGGATCAGCACAATATTTTTTCTTAATCTCAGGCTTTTGGATAGTTTGATTTAACTTTTGTGACTTAGATCAGAACTCTGGAAGGAATATTTGGGACTCCTGGTGAATATAACTTAATATGCAATCATACACAATTAGTCATCTAAATACTGTTTAATTTGTGACTTGGTTACCTTGTAAGCTTTATACCATGCTAATCATGCTTCAGCTTTGGCAATCTGTCTTTTATCACACCAACTCACTGAATATACAGATACTGCAATCTGCTTGGCTTCTATTCAGAACCACAACAATCAAGGATGGTTTGTCTTGAGCCTGCAATGTGCATGCTTGTGCAAAATGGAGTGTAATCTAAATGCCTTCTCTTGGGTTGAGACAGTTTTTCTGCCCTTGCCACTGTTTTATCGTGAGTTACTGGCCTTTCTTCCTGAAAGGTTAGTACTCTTCTTTGTAAACTTGATAGCTCTTACCTGAAGACTTAATGGAATTTGAGTAACTTGTATGCATTTACTGATACTGCTTATATAACTGAATTAAAACTTTGTTTTCTTCCTTCCACTTTGTTGCCACAATAAATGTAGCAAAACTCATTGTATGAGCACCCAATACAGAAGGGGAAGGTGCTCTTGGTTTTAAACAAAACTGATTTCATTTTCTCACAGATACCAGGATTACTTGTGGTGGCATGGAGAACAAGGACTGCTAGCTTTCACATCGTCATCTTGTCTCACTAGTTCTTGATTGGTGCCAGTGCTGTGTGATCCCTGCAGCCTTTCTGTTTTGAAAAAGAAGGCTCAGAGCCAGACTGAGTTCTAACATAATTGTTGCTTTGCATGTGTGCTACACTCTTACCCATGGTATGGCCTTGATGCTGTCAGCACTCCAGGTGGCACTTCCAGTTCTTTCCTTTTACCTGTATTTGCTCTTGGCTTGGGACTCTTCCTGTTCTTTTGACTTACTGCATGTACACTGCTTGCTTAACTCCTGTTCTTCCATTTCTTCTGGTGCAGAAATGTTTATGCTCCACCTGCTCCAATGTAATGATTCATTTACAGACCAGGTTTCACATCTCAATATTCATTTGCTTCTCCAAGAGAAGGGAGGAATTGTTACAAAAAAGGCTGTAATTAGGCCTGCTTTTCTTTGAATCCCTCCATTCCCCCTTGTATTTCATACTCAACTATGTCGACTTCACCGCTGAGGTAAAGTATTCTTTCCATATGGCTTTAATAAAATCATAGGATAAAACAGGGATAGCTTTGGATGTAGCTTGTTGGGTTGAGATAGTTTAGCCCTCAAAGAAGTTTCTCTGAGTGCTTTGAACACTTTTGGCAGGCTGTGTTTTGACATACACCTTGCTGATATCCAGTAGCGTGAGAGGCTGGGGAAAAGACATGCATGGCTGCGGTCTCTTTTTGGCTCCAAAATACAGCACTGCCTAGAAAAAACATCTCTTGATTCTAATCTTCCCAAAAATCTGCTGGGAATTAGATGTGTTCCTCCTGTAGCCCACCAGCACTACCACGAAGGCTCCAGAAGCAGCTTAGTTCTCACCAAACTTTGATCATCGTATAATGCCAATTTCTCATTTTCAAGCTTTCCCAAGTACAGCTGGAATAAAATCGCAGTTTCGATGCTGTTGAGCTAGCCTCATATCATCTCTGTGTTCAATTCTAGTATTCACTTTTTTTTTCTTCTATTTGTGAGCAATTTACTCAGAAATTTTCTATTTATTCCCTTTTAGAAACTCAACTCTTTCAAATAAAAGGACAGGGGATTGGGGGGGCGAGGGGGAGTGGAGGGGATGGTGACTGTCTGTCTCTTTCTTCCAGAGTCGAATCCACAGGCAGGCAGGTCCTGCAGGATTTTCTGAGAGGCTTGCTGTGTGGTCGGCGCAGAGGCCGTCAGTATTGTGACCATTTTCTCTAGAGCTGTTGGCTCAAATTGTGCCCAGAAACCTTCATACTAACAGCATTCATGACTGTGATAAGAACAGAATGGTATGCCAAGCAGGGAGGAGGAGAAAACTCTTAAATAGAAAGCATTAGTAGAATGTGTTTTATTGCCTACTACAAGAGATTGGTGCCGCTTCAGTAGGGACACTGACAGTTATGCTCAGCTGACTTTGACAACAGGTCATCAGCTATGTGCTTTTGTCTTGGGAAACCTCCAGTTTGGGCCAAGCTGGTAGGCACGTACTGTCAGAGAATACTTATGCCGTCCTGCATGGATTTGCCATCCGTGAATGAATCCGTCTCTCTTTTTTTGTTTTGTTTGGTTTTTTTAAGGAAAGAGTTCACTGATAAAGAAAATGAACAGACAATTAGCAAAATATTGCAATGTGGCAATTCTGAAGAAGTGTACTACTGAGTTGACAAATATAAAACTGTCTTTTTCTTGCTACTTGAAACTTACCCATGTGCCCAGGAGCTTCCTCTGGTTTTCTCACATCAGCATCCTGAGGAAGTCAACAGTGCAGAAAGACAGTGACACCATGTTTTCTGTCTTTATATGTGGTGGTAGAAACCGGTTTTAGTCCATCAAACTTAATTGCAGGAGTTGAAATGCTGACTTACAAGCACATCACCGTTCCCTGCCACTAGAGGCAGTGTCTGACAGAGTAGTAAGGTAGATGGTCGGATGTGGTAAGAACTGTGTGATCTTAACCCAACGCTTGTCTCTGAGAGTCATCGCCCTGCCAACTTGAAGCTCCTTGTAAGGATGGAGAACTGGGCTGTCTCTCAGCATGCAGCTTAGGCCTGCTTAATGTCATATTCTTGTAGAACTTCTTTAATAAGACCCTTTATTTTGACCTTATCTAGTAATTTGGGTTCATGCAGGCTTCCTTTCTTCCATCTGTCACTAACTCCAGTAAGACTTACTGCCTCAAGCCAGCACCAGACTCCTGCTGGTTACCTGAGTGTCAGAAATGTGTAAATGTATTGGTAAATGCTGCTGTCTCCTTTTCTCATAGTGCAATGTTTCCTTAGTGTCACCTGAGTTAAATGTCTATGCCAGTTATTTGTAAGGCAAAGGTATTAGCTGTTATTCAGAACCTGAGACATCATATGATAAAAATAGTGATTGAAAAGCTGTACTGTATACAGTTGCTGAGAGGTCAGAAAGAATGACATTTATAATTGGCATTACATGGTATTATGCTAAAAAAGGTCAACAAAGAGTGTGCAAGTGCAGCACCTGGAGAGCTCAGTGCAAAGCTGTGTAATATTACTCTTCTGTGCTTTGGTTACAACAATTAACCTACTCAGAAAGGTTTTGTTAGTGCATTTCTTTAATAGACAATGCAGATTTTAATCCACTTTAACACTGGAGTGAATAAGCAAGCAGTTTATTAAACTATCAGTCTCAAAATAAAAGGATTTTTTAAAGCAAATTTGCCTGAAATACAAGCCTTGTGGGGTTTTTAATACTAAAATCTTAAAATGCTATGAAATGCTGGTTTTCAAGTCCACCAAGTGATCTAAAACATTTAATTTGATCAGAATCTAACCAAATTTGACTACTTAAGTGCATA